ATTAGAAAGCAAACAACAGGGGTTTCCACCAGTGGTTCAGCATTGAATGTTGAAAGCAGAGGCAAGAGTTCAAACAAGAAGAAGGGCAACAGTAATAGAAACAAAAGCAGATCCAAGTCAAGGAATGAAAGGACACAGTCTCAAAATTTCAGGAATTCCACAGATCTCAGTGACGTTGAGTGTTAGAATTGTGGAAAGAAAGGACATTACCGTGTTGATTGCAGACTTCCAAAGAAGGGAACCAAAAGAAAAACTAAAGCAAACTTTGTCTCAGAAGAATCAGATGATGCATTGATATGCTCTTTGGAGAGCAAGGTAGAGTCATGGGTTTTAGATTCTGACGCATCATTTCATGGCACCTCAAACAAAGAACTATTTAATAGCTATGAACCGAGTAACCTTAGTAAGGTGTATCTTGGTGATGATTAGCCATGCAGCATCGTTGGCAAGGGTGAAGTGCAAATCAAGTTGAATGGGTTAGCTTGGAAGTTAATGAATGTGAGACACATCCCTGACTTGAAAAAGAATCTGATTTTAGTGGGACAATTGTCAGATGAAGGTTTTGTTAGAACCTTCAATGGAGACTCGTGGAAACTTTCCAGAGGCGCTATGACCATTGCACGTGGTAAGAAATCTGGCACTCTCTACACAATTACCAGTGCTTGTGGGTCTATAGCAGTTACAAAAAACAGAAAAGATCACAACCTTTGATACTAGAGACTAGGTCGCATGAGTGAAAGGGGGCTAAAGATTATGTACTCAAAGGGGAAACTACTAAGTATATGGGCAATTGATATTGACTTCTGTGAGAGTTGCGTGATGGGCAAGCAGAAGAGGGTCAGTTTTAAGAAGAGTGGCAGAGATCTCAAAAAGGAGAAACTTGAGTTAGTTCACACAGATGTTTAGGGGCTAACCACTGTTTCATCCATTGGCAGAAAATCCTACTTCATGACTTTCATTGATGATCACACGAGGAAGGTATGGTTTATTTTTTGAAGCACAAATCTGAGGTATTTGATGTGTTCAAGAAGTGGAAGGTCGTGGTGGAGAATGAGACAGGTTTGAAGATTAAGAGGTTGAGATCAAACAATGATGGTGAGTATGAAGACACTGGGTTCAAGAAGTTCTGTTTTGATAATATGATCAGATTAGAGAGGACTGTGAAAAGAACCCCACAGCAAAATGGGGTGGCTGAACAGATGAATCAAACATTGACAGAAAGAGCCAGAAGCATGCGCATACATTCGGGTCTACCCAAACAGTTTTGGGCAGAAATGGTCAATACAGCATCCTACCTAATAAATCGTGAACCATCGGTGCCTTTAGAGCATCGAATACCAGAAGAGGTATGGAGTGGCAAAGAGGTAAATCTTTCATGGTTGAAAGTTTTTTGTTGTATTGCATATGCGCATATTAGTGACCATGCTAAGGGAAAGCTCAACCCCAAGTCACTAAAATGCATCTTCGTTGGGTATGGCGGTGATGAGTTTGGTTATCGACTTTTGGATAATCAGAACAAGAAAATCATCAGAAGTAGAGATGTGTTTTCAACGAGAAAGTGATGTACAAGGATAGAGATGCAGCACAGTTAACTAGTCATGTACAGAGTAAGCCTGAGTTTATTGAGTTGGATGATGATCTAGAGAGCATTGATGCGGAGCAGACATATGAGGGTTCTTGGCCAGAACTCACAAAGCATAGTTCACCGTAAATTCCAACTCCTATGCCTGCACCCAAAAGGTCTACGCGACCTCATGTACCGAATAGAAAATATTTGGATTATATGTTGCTCACAGATAATGGTGAGCCTGAATGTTATGCTGAAGCATGTCAAGTTGAAGATGCCAGCAAGTGGGAGCTTACAATGGAAGATGAGATGAAGTCCCTTATCTCTAACAAAACATGGAACTATCCAAGTTGCCCATAGGGAAGAAAGCTCTTCACAACAAATGGGTGTATAGAGTGAAAGAGGAACATGATGGTTTCAAGAGATACAAGGCGAGAATGGTGGTCAAAGGCTTTCAGCAAAAGCAAGGCATTGACTACACAGACATTTTTTCCCCGGTTGTGAAACTGAGTACCATTCGCTCAGTTCTTAACATTGTTGCAGCAAAAAGGTTGCACCTCGAGCAGTTAGATGTCAAAACTGTTTTTCTCCATGGTGACCTTGAGGAGGAGATTTACATGCAACAACCGAAGGGTTTCTCAATCAAAGGAAAAGAGAAACTAGTGTGTAAGTTGAAGAAAAGTTTATATGGTTTGAAGCAAGCCCCGAGTTAGCGGTACAAGAAGTTTGATGGTTTTATGAAGCGACATGGCTACAACGAGTGCAATGCTGACCATTACTGCTACTTCAAGAGATTTAAGTCAAGTTTCATTATCCTTCTACTTTATGTTGATGACTTGTTAGTGGCAGGTTCTGATTTTGAAGAAATTAGCAAATTGAAGAAGCAGTTATCTAGTGAATTCAAGATGAAGGATCTTGGCGCAGCGAAGCAGATTTTTGGGATGAGGATTAACAGAGACAAACATAAAGGTATTTTGCAGTTGTCTCAGGCTGAGTACATTGAACAGGTTCTGAAGAGGTTCAACATGAATAATGCTAAGACGGTGAGTACTCTCTTAGCTAATCACTTCCGCTTATCTCAAGATCAGTGTCCGAAGACAAAAGATGAGAAAAACTTCATGGCTAAAATTCCATATGCCTCAGCCATTGGAAGTTTGATGTATGCCATGGGGTGCACAAGACCAGACATTGCGTATGCATTGGGAGTAGTAAGCAGGTTCATAAAGGATTCGGGCAAACTACACTGGGAAGCAGTAAAGTGGATATTGAGATATCTACGGGGTACCACAGACAGATGTTTATGTTTCAGAAGGGGTGAAGTGAAGCTACATGGTTATGTAGATTCAGACTTTGCTGGTGAGGTGGACCGCAAAAGAAGTACTACCAGTATGTGTTCATGGTGGGTACAACTGCAGTTAGTTGGGTTTCGCAAATACGGAGGATTATAGCGTTATCTACTACAGAGAAAGAGTATGTGGCGATGACAGATGCCAGTAAGGAGATGATTTGGTTACAAGGTTTGTTAACAGAATTGGGATTCGAACAGGTGAAGAATGTTTTGCACAGTCATAGTCAGAGTGCGATACATCTAGCAAAGAATTCAGCATTTCATTCAAGGACCAAGCATATAAGACTTCGGTATCACTTTATCAGATCTTTGTTAGAAGATGGGGTGTTGACACTTGAGAAAATACTTAGCACCAAGAATCTGGTTGACATGTTGACCAAGATAGTGACCATGGAGAAACTGAAGTTGTGCGCAACTTCAGTTGGTCTTCTAGCTTGAAGACAAAAAGAAGCGCACCGACATGTATAGGACATGCATGAGAAGAAGATGGAATGGGTTTACAAGTGCTCCAGACTCCAAGTGGGAGATTGTTGTGGTTTTGTGGAGTCTGATTAAGTGGAATATTTTTAGAAAGATTTAATTATATGGAAACTTCAAGAGTACTGAATTTTAGTGAAAATTCAGTTTCCTAATATGTTAGTGAAAATTCAGTTTCTTAATCTGATTTGACTTCCTTATTGGTTTAAGGAAAATTCAGTTTCCTGATCTGATTTAATTTCCTTATTGGTTTTTGATTCTACAAAAAGCAAGTTCTTGTAGGACAAGTTTGAGACTCTATAAATAGGGGTGAAAATTAGAGATAAATGTGTACCAATACAAGATAGAGCAATTGAGAGAGATTGAGAGAGAATTCTCCTTGTAATTTTTCATCTTTTTCATAGTGAATTTGTTCGGTGTGCTCCATGGACGTAGCCCTAAGATTTGGATGAACTATATATATCTTGTGTTCTTGTGTGTGATTTTTTTTTTTTTTTTTTTTTTTTTTTTTTTTTTTTTTTTATGATTGCTTGATCATTCCTCAAACAACGTGCGCTGTTATTTTGCGTTTCCGCCACAACAACTAGAATCAAATTCGGTTGATTGTGTAGTGCAACTCTAACAAGTACCAAGAAGGAAAAAAAAAAAAAAAAAAAAAAAAAAAAAAAAAAAAAAAAAACTTTTTAAATGCAACTTATTTGAACTTAAACAATAATTCAACTATATCTTTTACAGAATGCAAATTATAATCCACATTATTTTCCTGACAATAATCATGTCATTGGTGACTATTTGGATTTTGGACCTCTTCTCAAATATATATATATATATATATATATATATATATATATATATATAAAAGATTTTTAACTCTATGATAAAAAGAACAGAATATAACACTGTTAAAAGAAATGAGATGTGCATACACCTCACCCCAGAATTGGTGACTCCATTTGCTTTGACGTAAAATATCTTTTTCAAAATATATTTCTCTTTTCAAATAATTTTTTTTTTCATTGTTTGGAAAAGTTTGACACGAATCATGCCCTATTTCAGCAGGTTATTGAGCATCATTAGTTGGATCTGTTATTATTTATATGCTCACAATGTTAATAGTAAAATGATTGCTTAGGATCAATGACATTGAAGTTTGTGAGTTGCAAAATGATGTTAGAAGGGAAATAATATCCAATGGCATGTCAAAAAAGTCCAGCATTACTCATAATACCTGAGACTCTTGGACTCTTTTCTAATCCAACACATGTAGTATACCTATGTGCAATTTACACTAATGTCAAACATCCGATTTCTCAATAAATCCAAGTAAAAAATAAGAGAGAATTTATATCCATGGACCATAGTCAGGAGAGTTTTCATGTGTTAGTACGAAAAAAATAAAAAATAAAAAAAAATTGATTATGTACAACACTTGTTTTTATAAACAAACACAAATACAACTATTACATGTTATAACCAAAATAAAACGAGCTAATACACATTGTTAATCAAGCTGCTCAAGTAGAAGTTCATCCTAACCCATAAATTTCAAAAGAGTACAGAATTTAGAAGTTAGGCAAAATATAAGCAAAAAAAAGACTTCATCCGAGACTAATTAGCTCCAGTGTCATCTCCCTCATCTGCAAAATGTTGGGGGTGAGCTAATGCCTAGTAGAAAATGGATTAACAATGTTAGCTGTTAATTCATGAGATGTCACAAGCATATAAAGATGTGATTAATGCAGCTAAGCAATAGCAATGATAACATAGCACGTTCATGAGCAGAGTACGTAATTCTATAAAATATTAATTAACACATTTCCATCACTAATCACCTCAAAACAAAACAAATCTCACTCATTAACTCCAAAGCATAAGCCACAACACCATTCACATAAACCTAGTAATTCTGTTAGCTTCACACGTCACGTGACACACCACCAATATACCTATCTCATCAATTTGAACAACAGTCCATTCGTACTTTCTCAACCAATTTCAATATGAAATGTCATTTTAACAATTTGTCAAACATCATATAAATATTCATTTTCAAGCATGCTTTCTTCAACACAAATTCTCATACATTAGATCACTAGACCTCTGTTACATGAACTCTTTAAAAGTAGTGAAGTACTCGTATCGGACACATATCCCTCGGACATGAATATGGGATATGTGTCCGACACTTTTGATTAGACACGTACTTAAAAAGTATATCCAATCATTCAATTACATTATATTATTACTTTAAAATGAGTTAAATGCTTATATTGAACATTATATTAGATAAAAACATTACTTAACTCTAAAAAATAAAATAAAATAATTAATAAAATGAATATTTAGCCGTGTCCGTGTGTCCTTTTATTTGGAGAATTGACACATCTAACGCATGGATACATACCCGTGTTCGACACACGTATCCGAGGCCATGTAACATATTAGACTATACTAGTGGGTAAACAATACATTTATATATATATATATATATATATATGCATATCACAAATTGAACATTCTAAACAAGCTAATTCATATAAAACTCAAAAGGACAACAAATCACAAATTTAAAGGTTAGTACACCCATCTATTGCTAGAGCTAGACCTAATTCACCCAAATTTTGAAACTTCAAAAATGATTTTTGAACCGCAGTCGTGTAGAGCACATTAAGGGGAACACACACTCTCTCTCTCTTTTCCCCTTTCCTGTTTTTTCTTCATTGACCGCTGGATCTTTAATTTTCTTTGTTTCTTCTATTCATTCACGTGTTATATATATATATATATAATCTTCTTCACTTGCTCAAATCTGTGTCTCTCCCACTCAACGCAATCAACAAGACCCCCAAGGCATATTGTTTACTTTTTTTTTTTTTTTTTTTTTGATAAGTAAAAATCGATTACAAGAACGTTCAAAAGGGGAACGCGTCCCTAATATAAAAAACGAAAGTTGAACCTAAGGACCAATAGAGTTCAAAAGATCAACTAAGTCATCAATCGAGGAGCAAGCGTTTCCTTTCACGTAACAAAAAATAGAACGAAGAATATGAATTTTCAAGGTCGCCAAACACGATTCCTTTCCTTCAAAATTTTTGTTATTCCTCTCTTCATATGCACCACCAAACACAGTGTGGAACTATCTTCCAATAGTCGCGAGCGTGACTTTTCACTAGGCATCTTCTCTATGCGTTAATCAGTCCTATGGAAGACTGAGGCATTACCCAATGTACGTCAAAAATGCCGAAGTTGAGGTTCCACCAATCATACGCCACAGGACAGTGCATAAGAATCTGATCCACAGACTCACCGTCTGTTTTACATAGACAATACCAATTAACAATAGTGTTACCTCTCTTTCTCAGATTGTCCAACGTCAAAATCTTGCCCCATACGGCAGTCCAAACAAAGAATGCAACTCTAAGTAGAGCCTTAGAACGCCATATAATCTTCTATGGGAAATCATGACTATCGAAATTGGACAAACAAAATAACATGGACCAAACACCAAATCTACCATGAGTGGAAGGGACCCACAAAATGTCATCACTACCCCTGCCAACATCCTTCTGCTACAATAAATCCAAAAAAACACATACCTCTTCTACCTCCCAATCCTGAAAAGAACGCCTAAAATGCACATCTCACGTAACCCCACTACTATCAAGCCTATAACAATCCGCTACGCATGCGTGCCTATTTTCGGCAATACTGTAAAGTCTAGGAAAGGAATAAGACAACAGCTAATCCCTACACTATAAATCCTCCCAAAAACAAACACACCTTACCATCACGAACCTTGAATCTGATGTGTGAGGAAAAGACATCACAACCCTTCCGAATAAATTTCCACATGCCGATGCCTCCCGCAATAGTGACTGGACGGGAGGAACAGCCACCACGCTCCTCCCTAAAACGACACGAGACAATCCTTCTCCACTGACGATGTCGTTCCCTACCAAATCTCCATAACTACTTTCCCAATAAAGCTCTATTAAAATGAACTAACTTTCGAATGCCTAAACCGCCTAACTTCAAGGGTTTGCAAACTTGCTCCCAGTTAACAAAATGATACTCGAACTCCTCCCCTTTTTCCACCCCATAGAAAGTCTCTTTGAATTTTTTCAATCCTTTCAGTGCATGGGATTTGAAATAGGAAGGGACGAAAGAGTACTTTTAATAAAAGTGATCTCCCCCCCTTTCGACAGATATTGTTTCTTCCATCTTGCCAACCTCTTCTCATACCCAGCTCCCCACCCTCCTAAAGGAAACCCCCAAAGGCAATCCCAAATAAGGAAGAGGGAAAGCACCCACCCCACACCCAAGAACTGCATCTAAGGAGGAAATATCTAGAACATCCCCTACTGAGACAAGCACACTCCTTCCAACATTGATCTTTAGCCCAGAAACCGCCTGGAAACAAACAAGAATGCACCTCAAATATCTAGATTCTAGGTTAGGAGACATCAGTATCACCAAAAACCAAGGTATCATCCGCAAACAGCAAATGGGAGATCTCAATCTGATGAGCTACATCTCTGCCAACTCAGAACCCCCTGATATAACCCAAATTTTTTGCTCTCCATTAGTCTGCTTAAACCCTTCATGACTGTAAGGAATAGAAAATACGACAAGGGGTCTTCTTGTCTCAAACCTCGAGAGCTCATAAAGAAACTAGCAGGAGATCCATTCACAAGAACAGAGAACATAACGGACGAAATACATGTTTCGATCCATTTATTCCACCTATCTTGGAACCCCATCCTTTGAAGCAAATAAAGGAGGAACTTCCAATTCACATGATCATAAGCATTCTCAATGTCAAGTTTGCTTAAGACGCCAAGGACCCCACTCTTCAACTTGAAGTCTACATATCCCCCTGGTATGAGAACAGAATCCAAGATCTGCTGTCCTCCAGCAAGGCATATTGTTTACTTGCCCCCTTAAATTGGACCTTCCCCGAATATAAATCGGGTTTTCCCCCAATTTTCACTCTATACAACCAATGACAATATTCCTTCTTTCCATTAATATTTCACAACTTTTTGTGTTTATATATATATATATATATTTCAACCCAAATTGTTTTCTAACTAAAAGTTTAACCCAAAAATTTGGCAATTGTACCAACCGAAAACTCTAAATACATTACTTGGGTTTCATTAAAACATGTCTATAACTGCGATATACAATGATATTAATAAAATTATTTTGGGTGGATCTAGACATGGAGAACTCCATTTAGAGTGCACATTTAAAACAGCAAAACAGGGGAGTAACAAGTTAAAACCATAGTGGTTTTCTTAAGCTCTTCAATGGGGTGGTTCTTTCTATCACGTAATTCCAACCGCTCGTTCCATTTCCTTGCCGCACGAAATGGGATTCTAACCCATGATACAGTCCTACACCGAAATAGCAAGGTCAATCTCTCTTCAGTTCAAGGAGGGCCAATTTCAATAAAATATCTTGGTACAGAAAGAGGCCAACATTAACAGAGACCTAAAGCCTATACCCAGCAAGCCCTTCCTCCGGCTACTGTAAAGCAAAAAAAAATATCAGAGATATCTTTAATTCACCTTCACATCTATAAGCTGGACCATTTCGCCGATAGCTCAGCCCAAGCTTGGTTGCTCGCCCAATTTGATCCTGGCACAATTACTCTCTTCTGAACAAATTAGGATACTTCTTATGAAGATCAGAGATATCTCCAAGCAACTTAAATATCTCATTCTGAATTTGGGCCAAGTCCTTTTTAGATTGAGAAAGAGTAACATTGTTATCAGCCTTGTCAGCAAAGGAGTCGAGCTACTTGTTCGTCAACATCTTTATTACGAGCTACCAAGCCTTTAGAAGCTTTATCTTATAATTAAAACCTTCAGCTTATCCTCGCAGAAAAGAGACTTCCTTTATGTCCCCTCTCCTCGGCAAAAGTTCGAAGCATATCTTGGCCAGATTGGAATTCAGCCATTACTACGCATATCACAGGTAATTTAAATAAATAAAAATTAAAAAAAAAAAAAAAAAAAAAAAAAAAACAGAGAATCAGGAAATTCCGCTTCTGTTGCCTAAATGTAAATTGGTGCATACAATACCACCATCACTTCTCGTGGATTTCCTCAAAAATGATTTTAAATATATCATAAGCGATTCACAAACAAATTGCATAATTTATTCCGTTGTCAAGAAATGTTATGTCTTACATGTATGCTCCAATCATTGATAGGAAAGTAAATCAGAAGAATACTCGATAAAGAGAACGGAATTAATCAAAAGACACACGGAAGAACTAAGATAAGATTGTGTTCTGCAGAAAAAACGAAGTTAGAGATAATGAACTATATTTTCAAGAACTACAGAAAATAAAACAACATAAAATTAAAACAAAATGAAAAACAAAATTGCGCACATATATTTTTGTGGACATACCACTAGAAACGAACCACGGATCTTGCTTTTGTAAATTTGACTAAAACTGAAAATAATAAATTTCTGAAATTGCTTACAAGTATGGTAGGCATGTGTCTGAAATTGCACTTTCAATTGGCCAGTATTTCAATTGGCCACTGATCTACTGGCCACTGATCTTTTCCAATAGAGACGAAAGAACCGCATTTTCAAAGAGAAGAATTGACTGGTTTTGAGTAAAAGAAAATCAATTTTAGCAAGATAATTAACTGCTCCTTGAATTTCAGAGTTGGATGAGAAAGAACCGTAAGGTGCATTTTTAGTAAAACGATATTATATTCATTAGTTAATTAAATATATGATGTGGCGCCTTAACAATCGCAAGATTAAACACTTGTACATGCTCGCAAGATTAAACACTTGTACATGCTCGGAGACAAATTTCCTTGGACAGATCCATTCTCAAAAGAATTGGGAATAAAGCATGTAATAGCAATTATGTGGAGAGTTACAAACAGCTTTTGGACAACTCATTTGCATCGACTCAAATGTGATCTTTTCATGGGAGGTGAAATTGAAGACTATGCAGCCCAATTCATTTCATATGAGAGAAAAGTAAGGATTTGATGATGATTATTGGATATGGATTAAATTATAAAATAAAATAAAAAATTTGATAATTCATACAAAGGACAGACACTTTTCTAATTCAAAAGTTTAAATTATTAGAAAAAAGTTTAAATTATTAGAAAAGTTTAAATTATTAGATTGTGACGCATACCTACTCATATATGCTCATTTTATTTCTTATTTGGATCCAAAGTAAGACAACACCATCCACCAACCCCTCTTACAATTACAAAGGATCAACTAAAGCTAGAATGGAAGAAAAAAAGAGAGAATTACAGGCTAACTAATGTATGTTGTGCTAAGTGACAATTTTGAACAAAAATGATAAATTATTAAAACCTGTGATGAAGGTGTGTATTACTCTCATGCTTCGCCCACGCTCTTTCACTTTGATTCTTACTCTTTGTAACTTATATTTTGTCGTTTCGCGCTCCCACTCCGCTGTTACGTAACATAGATTACGACATAACATGAGAAGAAACATGAGTCTTTGGTTGCTGGTTGGCTCTATCCTTTTGGGAGTTTGCAAATAATCCATACTGGTTGGAATACTTGAATCAGGGTGCAATTTGAGCACACTTTCTCAATCATTTGAAAATACAAACTTGCAAATCTCTACAAATATTTGCATGAAAGTGGTAGGGTTTGAACAATAACAATAATGCAGAGCTGTGAATAAATAGAAACTCGTGGAACATCGTGTTGGCAAGAACAAGAACACAGAACAGAAAATTCAAACAACAAATCGCACCAACGAACACCGTGTGGGTCTTTTGATAGGATTTGGATTTGGAGTTATGATCATATTTAAAGTAGAGCACATACATCACGTGCCCAACATGACATGCAGTAGTAAATGCAATGGTTCACTGATAATAGTACTTGCTTATTCTGAATCTAAGAATGACTAATCACTTTTTTTTGGTATTGCTCCCAGATTCAAATTTAGTTTTACTTACTATTTACAGACTAACAACAATTGTCAAGGGGCAGACAATAATTTAGTTTTTCTTTTTGGTAAATAAGGTTTCCATAATAAGCTAAAAGGCCAAAGATAACAATGTCAATGGGGCATACTCTAATTTAGTTTTTCTTTTTGATAAGTAAGGTTTCCATAATAAGCTAAAAGGCCAAAGATAACAATTGTCAAGGGGGCATACTCTAATTTACATAAAACAGGAGCGCAAAATTAAGTGACAAATAGTGAGATGATATGGAGCAAAAGCTGGAATATACCATAAAAAATATATATATATATTTATATATATATATATATATATATTTCAGTATCCATGTTCGTCCTTCCAATTGTTCCAAGCATCCCACATCCTGCAAATAAATAATAAAAAACACATAAATAATAATAATAATAATAACCATAATAACAATATTTGTTCATATTCTAAAGTGAACGCATTTCCGCAGTATTCACAAGGAAAATCAGCGTGGTGCTCTAGGCAATTGCAGCAAGGGTCGCGGTCAACAACATTGTCATAGTGATTTTTGACATCGTCAGTGCTGTCAAAATCCTTTCTCTTGTATTTTTTTTGATTCCTTTTTAGGAGGATTATTCCAACACCTAATGCCAATGCATCTAGAGACAGGGCGGGGGTGGGTAATTTGGTTCTGGATCACCAGATACTCCATATCTGGAGTATCCATGCTGACAAGTTCCCCATCTTGAGCATCTCAAAAAAATTAAAATCAGTAAAACACAATACACAAAAAGAGCATGGATGAAATAATTTAAGAACTAGATTACTTAACAAAGACGTGATATAGAAATTCATCAAAATGACCAAAGTGGATTGCTGATAAAAAAGGATATGTTGAAGAACAGAATCATTTTTCTCTGCTACACTCAACCTAAAGATATTTTTCATCAGGAGTGAAGCTTACTGATCTATTCTATTCTATGCCACTGACTCTCAAGGAGACCTCTTCAGGCTGACTTTTACAGAGTTCTACTTTTGTTCTTCTCAATCATACACTGTATTTAATTCCTATCTAATGTGTATGGGGTATTGAAGGCAGTCAGTTATCTGGAGAATAAGTTGTAATCTAAGGTGAAACCAACCTTATGAGTTTTATAGTGCATTAGCAGAAACACAGAACACCAAGATTCCACATTTTGTGATCAGAATCCCACACAAAAGATACAAAACAACAAAATACACATCTTTAACATTCCTTCACTTCTTCCAAATAGTATCCTTTTTGCAGGAACCTTCTTATAGAAGGCTTCAAGTACATCCTTGCTCTAAATCAACAAGAGATAAAAGAACAAAAAAAAAATTCATTATACTACAAAAACAAATAATACTGCAAACCAAATTTAACAGGAGCAGAAATAGGACTTTTAAATAGAACATGTTGCTGGAAAAAAGGTCTATCAAAGGGATATTGGGCTGTAGCTGTTAGCACAGCTGTCTACGTAATAAATATGTAGATAAGAGGAAAACTAGAAGATCATACAGAATCATCACATGGCATATAACATGGCATTTCAGAAACATGTCCACTAAATACCAATTATTATTTAACTTTTATAAGTCAAATTGCACAATTATTAATTTCACATTCCAATGGAGTCTAGTTACTCTCAAGTAATGTGGAAAACACCAGGTCTCCGGAGAATAAGTTGTCATTTAAGGTGAAACCAACCTTATGAGTTTTATAGTGCATTAGAAGTTAGCAGCAACCCAGAACACCAAGATCCCACATTTTGTGATCACATACATAGAATTGAAAAAGAATCTGATAACAAAGGAGGCATGTTATGAACAAAATACACACCTTGGAATTTTTTTTTACTCCTTCCATATAGTAGCATTTTTGCAAGATTCTTATCATAAACTGCTTCATATACATCCTTGCTCTAAATCAACAAGAGATAAATGGAAAATTTCTCTCATTATGTTACAAAAACAACAATAGCATTAAATTACTACCAAACCAAATTCAACAGGAGCAGAAATAGGACTTATAATATAGAAGAGTCAATTTTATTGGCCGGAGGTGAGTGAGAAATCTGAACATTTTAATACAATATCAATTTAGCACTAACACTAAGATACATTGAACTCAGCACAAAAAAGGGGCATCTAATAAAATATAATTCTTTGATCTAGTAAAAAAAAATTATGGCAAATGATGAGATATAGAATCATAGAACAAATGAAGAGATGTGTTACGAATAAGAGAGACAAAACAAATGTATATTGTATTGATGTTGTATAATATAAGATTACATGGGAGTTTATATAGGGGATGATGATGTGCGCGGAGAGAAGTAATCTTAAACCCTATATGCTAAACCTATACATAGTAATAATATATTTATATGAAGCGGTTTGAAGACAATCCTTTCATCCTGATGTAGCTCACGTGTTACCTATGCTAACGTGAGTGATGACATGACAACTGAATTGCCAGGTAACTGAAGGACTATATCAATATTCTCAGGTAATGAAAATTCCACTAACAGTATGTTAAGGAATATACCAATATTTTTCCGATACCACTCACTTCACGTTGAGCTTTCTTCCCCACAAGTATACCTATAATCACAGGATTAAAGATGAGAAAACTTAAATTTGTTAATGAAGTTCTATACATTTTGGAAGCTCAACAAGTAATACTTTGAACTCAATAACTTGTGTTAATTTTTTGGGCATATAAAATCCGCAGATAAAATAACTCTAAAAACCCAAACAAAGTAGTAGTATAAGTGGTCATGTTACTTACCAGATGACTGAGGAGGCATTATCCTTGGGCAGGGTAGAGACTAGAGGGAGGACTGACACCTGCAACAGAGATAAACAACAAAAACAGAGACGAAGGAGAAAATTAAGCAACACAGAGACGACTAGGTATATTTTTTTTTTTTGGAAAGTGAGAGGTATATTATTATATAGATGGAGGAGAAGGCACGGTTCGGATCGGTTCGGTTTGGGGATAAAGATCAAGCCGAACCGGTCCCCACGGATTGGCAAAAATTGAAACCTAACCGATCCGTGGAGCCTTCAATCCGAACCAAACCGATCCGTGAAGTAACGCATCGGATCGGTTCGGTTTCTGCGGATTGGGCTTGTCAATCTTGTTCATTTTAAAATATATATATATATATGAATACAAAATCAATGATATTTACAGGGAAAAAGAAGAGTCCATGGCAGCAAGGAAACCTTAAATGAAAAAAAACACAAAGAATCAAAATTTCAGAAAAAGCAAAACACCTCCTCAATCCGAGATAGAGTTTCATTTGGGTCTATTTTCCAATGAAAAACTTTAACTTTACATCTTGGGAAGGGTTAGGGCAATGGATTCCCTATCTTGAAGGAAAATAAACTGAAGGTTTACTAGCACTGGCCTGAATCGCACTCCAGCAACCTAAGAGATCGGCGGCGTTCACCGAACAGATACGAGAACCCTCCGTGATGGCGTACACAGTGGAGCCCGAAGCCACACAGTTACAGTTCAGCCACGGGATGGCCGTCGGCGGCGTCGTCTTCCAGAATAAGAAGATCCATCACTGTGTTATGGTGATTAACAGAAAATATTGATTTATTTAAACAAAAAATATTCAGAGAAGAGGAGAATAAGAAGATCCATGCAAAAAAATTGTGAACTCACCGGAAAAGAGGTAGATACACACGAAGAGGTCGCCGTTGCTTCGAATCTGGTCAACAATGGATTGAGAGGTGATGGATTGAGAGGCGAAGAGTGAACAAAAACAGAGGTGAAGAGTGAAGACTGTCACAGAGACGAGGATAACTAGAGTCTAGAGAAGAGGGTGTGAAGAGAGAAGAGGGTGGAGAGACGAGGCAAGAGAGGGGCGGCTGTAATGACTAATGAGATATATAAGAGTAATGAGTTGTTTGGGAGCTAGGGTTAGAATAATGAATAAAAAAATAAAAAAAAATACGGTAATAAGAGTTTTTGGGAGTTTTGAACCATTTTGGGGTTTTATTTTTTTTGAACTAAGGAGGGGTAGTTTAAGAAATAAATAAGTAATAGTTGGTCTTGGTTAGTGAAGAGAAATTAAAAGGGGGTAAATGCATGTTGGTGTAGATTTAAATGGTCTGTGTACCTTCGCATTACTCGTGACAGTCTTTTTCAGAGTATCTGACATTCAAATTTAAGATAGATGTTAGTCTCTCTAAAAATAACCATTATAAAAAAAATAGGGAAATTACATTAAAGAATTTTAGTCTGACGTAAAATCAAATCTTGAGATTTACTAGTACCGCAAAGGCAATGCAAGATATATTGCATCTACTCTCGATCCAAATGAGTTTGTCCACGCAATCACGAATAAAATTATTAATTTAGATTTTATGGTTAGATGTTTATTAGTATTATTTTTAAATTTTTATATTATTTTTCTAATCATCATGTATTTTGAACATTTAACCCTATTTTCTTTTTTTAAAAATTAATTATAAAATCACTCATTAAAAGTGTTCAATACGAGTCATTTTAGTATCATTATGTGTTTCAACCGTGTCAAAAAAAATTAAATTAATTAAAAATAAAAAACACTTAAATTTCAGGATACTTTTAATTGTGTCCGATAAGTATTTGAATTGTATCCACATGTGTCGTGTAATATTTCTGAATTTCGTTATTTTTTATTTTTCTAGAATTTTTTCATTTTTCGAGCGAAACGGTCCCGTGTGGGACCCGCTTTCGGAATTGTCGTGTAGAGGGCTTATGGTTGGGTTCATTTGCATCATATACATTTTCTTTAATGTGTAAAATGTGGTTGTGATTTATTTTATATATATATATGTAATTGTGGTTAGAATTAAAAAGAAAAAAGAAAAGAAAATTTCATTAAAAAAGTGGGACCCACATTTTTTTTTTTAGAAAAAGGCTTAGAGGCCAAATTTTGGCCTCACTCCTCAATTCTTCTTCTCTCTCCACGCCACTCTGTCTCCCTCTCTTTCTTTTTCTTTTTCCTTTTTCCTTTTTCCTTAAGGCTTTCAATCTTGATTTCTCTTTCATTTTTAAGAGATTTTTGGTGTCATTTGCGGCAAATTGAAAAGCACAAAGAGATCTATGGTTTGATTAGAGCCAATCTTGGTTTGGCTATCATTTTGGGATTTCCAAATTCTAGTGTTTGAAGTGAATTTGTGGCTTTTGAGGAATTGCACTCTAATTAAGATAGGGGTCTTCCTAATGCCTAAGTTTTGGTTCTAATTGAGTAATTTTCTCCTTTCTTTACTATGTCCTTAGAATTATTGAACCTTGGTATGAAATTAAGGAACATTCTTGTTTTTTATATGATAAATTGTTATTGTGTAAGTGATTATGTGAAAAGTATGCTTATAGATGAATTACACATGTTTTACCTTGGGTGATAATACTCTTGTACTATGAGATTTCTAAATCGTGCCATGATATTTCTTTGATTATTATGATATGCAATGGTGATGTTGTTCTTGTTATAATGACGGATTCATGACTTGAGATTGAAGTTTTATACATGGCATAAGGAAGGGCTTTGGAGAGGAATTGAAAAAATCAAAATCAAAATAAATAAATTATGTTGGAAATGAAGTTTTGATAATGGAAGAGAAGTTTTCTTTAAAATGAACCGGATTTCGCGAGTCCGGGGCTAGCTTGGCCTAGAGGGAGCGCGGCCAGGCCTTGGGCGTGAAATAGTTGATACTATACCATTTAACGGTTGCCAGGCATTGCCAAAATTGGAACCGGGGATAGTCATCAATCTCGCCTCGATAAAGTCAGCTAGTGAGTTTTTCCAAAGTTGTGGGTTAGGCCGATTCAGACCGAGTTGGAAACGGGGTGCATTTACGTTAACATGTACGTCACTAGTAGAAGTTATGTTTTATGTTAGAAATAATCTTGGTTTATTGTAGTGTTCTACATACCCCAAAACATGACCTCTTATCTCGTTTCTCTTATATGTTATGTGACTTAAGGGAGTCCAAAACTACGCCTTAAGTGACTTCTACTGAGCTTTATGCTCACCCCTTATTTTAACATTTTCAGGTTTGGTAAAAGAAATGGCGGAAGAAAATCCACCACAAGCTTAGCGGACTAGAAATAAATTCACCATCTTTTGTATGAAGGACCCCATTTCTTTTTGTAAAACAACACTTGGAAGAATGTAACTGTTTTGTGTAAAGCATGGTCATATTTTGTAACTAAAATTTTATTGGTACTTTATGTATTCGGGACTGTGTATAATATGATGTTTTGTATGGAAAATGATGTGTGATTTGGTGAGCTGTTCAATATATATATATATATATATATATATATATATATATATATATATATATCCATGGAATGCTAATTATGTTGTCGTGAATTCGGAGTCGAATGACTATCAGGTTTGACTCGTAAAGAGCCCAAATCTCCGGACTTTCAGGCTGCACATAGCAACATTCCAGGGCTCATCAGCCAGCTGACAAACTATTTCGTAGCATTCCAGTGAGTTGAGTTGTGGAGTAGCTTGTTTCGGCCAACTGAACCTTACCATCGGTCGACCGACACTCCACCATCAGTCGGCCTAACCCCATTCATCAACCGGCTAACAGCCTTCTTTTCCAAAGTCCCGAGAGCTAGTAATTTGAAGGATCGTTTCAGCCAGCCGGCTGATCTTGCACTTTCAGCCAGCTGATGAAGGAACATCAACCAACTGACTTTATTATTGACCCGGCTGATTTTCTCATTGACCCGGATGACCTTCCCATTGACCTGGTTGACTATTCTCATTGACCTACACCTTGACTTTTCCCTTTTATAAATTGTTCTTTATAAATACAATGGCCCTGTGAACGATTTGTGTATTCCCTGATAATATAAAAAAGGACGAGATTGCCCTTAGTTGACCTCAGGTCTGGGTAAGGACCTGATTAATGGTCCAGACCCACGGGTTCGGGTCGTTACATGTCGACCCATAAATTTTAAAATACTTTTAATCGTGTCCAATATATTCTGATAAGTATTTGAATCGTATCCCCATGTTCAACCTGTAAATTTGAAAATACTTTTGACCTAACTGTAACGGGTGGGCGTTTGCCCATTTATTCAAAAGCTTAAATTAGTGTTGTATACTTACTCATTTATACATTGAGGTTGTTCGAAGACTGGATATTGGCCGGAGGTAGTGCTGCAATCGAGCTGAGCCATGGTGTGCTCGAGCTCAGCTCGGCTTAAGTGGAAGAATGCTCAAGCTCGGCTCGAGCTCGAGCCAAGCCGAGAAATTTTGGTTCAAGCTTGGCTCGGCTCGGCTCTGTTAAACGAGCCTCGAGCCAAGCTCGAGCTATCTAATTTTTTTTTTTTGTATTTGGTATCTAACCGATCTAAAAAAAAAATGAGAGAAATAGATTGGCAGCAATAAAAAGAGAGTAGTTTGAGAGAAAAAGAGAAAGAAAGTGATAAATTTTATCGAAAATTAAACTTATCAGAGTTGATTTTGATGGAAGAAGTTGAGAGATGCACAGATCAATAATAAACTCCAAAATCTATACTAAAATTCAGTTTGGATGAAAGACAATCAATACATAAAAATCAAATATAAAAAGAGAAAGAGAGAGAAGTAAGATTCCATGACAGAAAGCAAATTGTTGAGTTTGTTGCCGCTGCTGCTTGGGCTACTAATAATTTTAGAAAAAGGAAAAATGATTAGAGCTAGACATAAAACATGGGCTTGGGTTTGATTGTACAGATAGGGTTGTGTTTGATTGTACATATGGGCTTTGTTTCTGTTTTAAAATGAATAAATGATAAAATTGGGTCTAAAACATAACTAAAAAATTTAATGGGCTTGTGTTTGATTGTACAGATGGGTTTGGTTTTTGTTTTAAAATGAATAAATAATAAAATTGGGTCTAATACATAACTAAAAAATTTAATGGGCTGTGGACTAAGCCTTCATAACATAAAATTATATATTATAGTTGGATATGTATGTGTGTGTATATATATATATATATAAGTGTGGGATGGGTTCGAGCCCAGACCAGACTGTTCTTACTTGGGTGCCAGCCCCGTGACTTTCGTTTCTTCTGCAACACTGGTCGAGGACTAGAGCCGTTCCCCTGATGAGGCTCGGCTCGTTTATGAATCGAGCCTCAAAATTCAGCTCAAGCTCACTTCATTTATAAATGAATCAAGCTCGGGCCGAGTAATTAACGAGCCGAGCCCGAGTAATTCGTGAACGGCTCAGCTCGTTTGCAGCCTTAGCCGAAAGTGAATGAGAAATCTAAACATTGTGAAGAAGATGGAACAAAAGAAAGATGATATGAGATGAGAAGAGAAGGGTTTTGAGGGTTGAAGAAAGAGAGATAGAGAGAGAAATTGTGAAGAAATGGTTTGAAGGAGTGTTAGAGAGATAAAGAGATGATAATGGGGAATCAAGGGGGGATTTATAGACGGTACCCATCTTATTACAATTGCACTCACGCTTTCCTCCACTTTTGTGTATGAACGAATGCAGTCTGCACCCTGTAGGAAAACGGCCACAATTGCCTAACCAAATCTCCTCCAATTTGCTCTTGCACTGCTCTTTCTCTCTCTCATAGACAAATTTTGAATGCCTTCCGCTTTTATATTACTTTTTTAACCTTTAGACTCTCATTGGGACACGTGGACCAATTAGGAAACAAAGCAAATTATTGTCTACTGTCTTCTGTGACTCTGTATTTGAATAAGTTACGACGAGTACATAATATATGTATGTATGTATATATATATACACACACACATAGGTTAATTTTCTATTTGGGTTACTTAATGCTAAACATTTTCTTAACTTCACCTGATCTCTTCATTTCATTAGCAAAAAATTTCAGAAGTCCATTGAATCACATACATACACGTGATGTATTTGCAC